ACAAGATGCCAAAACGAATCCTAATCACCCAGTGTGATCTGTTGTCAGTGATTTATAGGTATCAACTATGCGAAGCGGCCTAGAATAATTACGCCTGTCTGAGTGCGCTGTCGATAAGAATTACAGGACTATTTTATGGCTCAAAGATAAAGGTATATTAATATAGCTGAGCGAGAATGTGAAATGATAAACGGGCTTATTGGAAACCATCACGAACTGGTCAAAGGTGAATTGTTGCTTGAGATTATGTTGAGATTTGGGCTTATAACTCATTTTGAATTGGAGACTGGAATTTTAGTAAAAAGGTACTGCAAAGGTTTCGCTTCATATACATGTTTTTGCTATTAATAATATCGGTGTTTTTGAAAGGAGTTCTCCGAAACATGAAAGCCATCGTAACACTGTGTAGTCCACAAAACTGGTTCTTATAATGTTTTGGGTCCTTATTTCATTTTTTGTACCACCCATGAAAATACAGTATTATTGGGAGAAGCCAGTACTCTTTGGAAAGTGGTCTGCAGATTGTATATGCTTTCTATGCTATAACACTGGAGAGAATTAACATGCTGGTACACGTACAGGTTCAGCTTGAAAGCTACTAGTAAAAATTAGAGATTTGAATTTGCGTTTAACAGTAGTATTAATTCAACCTCTTTGATTTAACAAGTGGGGAAGCGGGTAACCTCGAGGTTAAAATATCGTCTGCCAAGAAATTGCTGGAAGCTATGTTAAACCATACTCCTTCTCTTCAAGTGATATATAATTGATTAAGCATTTCGATCTAAGATGTATATGATTTAGCATATTCTTGGTGGTTTCACGACGGGCTGTAAACAGTCGTGGACTGACAAACAAAATGATATGAACAAAGGCACACACGGCTGGGTGAAATCAAGCAAGGTTCCTTCTCTGAATAACATCTTAAGCTCGGTCCCCTTGGATACCAGGAGTTGGTTACTCACAGCCACACTAAGCCCTGTTTTGTGTCCGTGCAAGCAGGAAGCCGTGTGTCATATTGGCTGGTGCTGCAACTCCAGCTGTGAACGAGTTGGACAAGTAATGTGTCTCCAGTGTTTTGGAGGAGAGCTGTTGCATGGTAGCGATACATTCATCTGTAAGGCCCACGTTTGTGGCATTGTAATGGAAGCTATGTCGTGGTTTGTGAGAAACCTTTCAAGCATTGTTCTGGAAGGCCCACCTTTGTGGCATTTGTAATGGAAGCTATGTTGTGAAACCTTTCAATACATAGCATTTTCAATTCCATTGACTTACCCTCCTTGTTTTCACTCAAGACGACAAGAAGTGTAAAGTCGGAAGTGCTGTGTAGAGGGGTACTCACAGTGAACGCCTACTTAATTGTAGATTGTGTGACATAGCCTTGTGCTTGTGCATGACTGACTGACTGACTGAATTTGGTTGTACGCCGCTTTTAGCAATATTCCAGCAACATCAAGGCGGGGGACACCAGAAATGGGCTTAACAAAGTGTACCCATGTGGGGATTCGAACCCGGGTCTTCGGCGTGACGAGCCAACGCTTTAACCACTGGGCTACCCCACCGCCCCGCTTGTGCATGACAAGTGTTGAGTGAAACTCCATTTAGAACTCAGAACAGCATAAAAACCTAGCAAACAGCTTCTCTTAAAACCCCTCCTATAAAACATACAATATCATTGATGCAGTCAAATGTTAAATAAAAGCCAAGGAAAAGGAGACTTCAAGGCTAGCATTGCCTGAACAAACAGACTGAAGGCAGAAACACGTGGTGTTTGCTGAAAAATGTCCTAGCAAACATCAAATAGTTTAATTCAGGGTTTTCAGTTATGATCTACACTAACTAAGCATTAAACATTTATTAAAAACATGTGACTGACAAACACCATCTTTTCACTGTTCAATTGTCACAAATATTGCGCTGATGATACTTAACTGAAGAGGTGATATGCGAATGGTGTAATTCTGAAGTATTTGAAACCCCATTATGAGAATAAAAGAGTAAATATGATATTGTTACGGTTTAGGAATTACTGTGATATAGGCTTGTGAGTCCCCTTTAAACCAGCAGAATAAGACACAGACACAGTCTATAACATTGAACAATCAAGGTTACAATGAATGACAGTACAGATTTCTAATACAATACCTTTGGATCACAGATCTAAAATATTGGATGACAAATCTAAAATAGAACTCACCAAAGTATTGATATTCTTAGTAAAAACAGATGTACTGACTGAAGATTGCTGACAGCTGCTGAAAGTTCAATGTAGGCGGAGCCTCTTGAAACGACAATGTTGTCAGACGGATGAGCGTAAATCCAAAGTAGTCCCCCTCCCCATCCCCACCTGAGCAACCCTTACATACCTACTGTACAGTTCCAGAGAATTCTAGCGAAAGCGACGACACGCCACCAATCTAGAAATTAATCAACAGTCTTCCACTTAAAGCCGGAGGCAAAACAAACAATGGAGGTACTCTAACTCTTCAGCTTACTCTCTTAACAGGTTAAATTACATAGCCTAGGTTCAAGATTGGATCAGCGTTGCTGCTCTTGTAATCAATGATGTCTAGCAGGAGTGTGACGATCTGTCAGTCGTGGGAAAACACGAGGACGTCGGACATACAGGTTCCTGCCGATTACGAAACATCTCTTCACTCATCTGTAGCTCTTTGAAACACATCTCCATTTAAAGAGCCACTTTGACCACTGTTTTGTAACACTGTCCTTCTGATGAAACGGTACCAGTTGTCGCCCCTGGTCAACTAGATCGACGTCTGTCATCAAGGTTTGTCTGTCGGTATCGCGATTGTAACCCGGTAATTACTGATTGTAAAACGTTAATCCACAATGCTCTTTCTTGTTCCAACTTCCATCATGCAATTTGCATGTAGCCGCTCTTTACGGGACAGACGCCACATGTCAAAATAAGATAAAGGTTTAATTGAGTTTAGAACGCCTCAGAACAAGTTTCAGCCTGTTTTTTATCATAAATGTACAACACACTGATACTTTTTTATCCTAAATTTTGAACATGTGTACATCATGAAAACGACTGTCTGACTTACTGAGTGAGTATAGTTTTAAGCCGCTGTTAGCAATATTCCAGCAACATCACGGCGGGGAACACCAGAATTTGGCTTTACACATTGTACCCATGTGGGGAATCGAACCCGGGTCTTCGGTGTGACGAGAAAACGCTTTAACCAGTAGGCTACCCCGCCGCCCCCATAAAAAACGATTGGACGAAATTAACATGTTTCCATGAAATTCATAAAGTGTTATGAACGGAATAATCATTTTATTAGATTCTAGAACTAGATTCCCAAATAATATCATCCAAAAGTGGAGACTGTATATGGATTTGTTCATCTTCTAAATCCACATACAGTCATACAACTAGATTTCCAAATAATGTCATCCCAAAATGGAATATTTCCTGATTTTAATAAAATTATATGTGACAGTGATGTATTTGTGAGTCGAGGGTTTCAGCAGAGGGTTCAGATCTTCCTGAAATATCTGACAGATTTGCCAACCCATGCAGGTCAGTTCTCAGATAACCTCGTGTATATTTTTGTCACGTTTTGTCTTCGGTTGGTCGGAGACCAGGCGACTTAAGATACGCAGAGCAAACAAAATGCTGCTTTGGGATGGAGTAATCTGCACATGTTACTTACCATTTGTGGTCATGTTTGGGGGGATATATTTCGGGGTTCCTTTTTAATCAATTAAATGTAGATAATACTTGTTTAGTTTGATATCTTAAGACGGACGTGTAAAGAAAGGTTGCATTATTAATTGCATCAGTAAATAGAGAAACTGAAAACTTTTGTATTCATTTTGTTAGCTGCCATCGGTTGGATTATACGCAAATCGTTGTTGTGCAAAAACGATTAATGAATGTCATAGAAGATATACTGCTTTTTGCATATAAGGTAATATTTATATTTTTCTAATTAAGATCCGAATTCGACTACAATATTCAGAGGAGATTATGCAACGATTATGTAAGCTTGGTAAATATAATGACGTATCATATACAGGCGCGTAGCAAGCCATTTTTCCGTGTAAGCCCGATAGGTTGCAAAGCTTATATTTAGATAGTATTGAGGGCTTGCCCAGCCTTTTTAGCAACAATCATGTGTAAGCCCGGGCTCCGTTTATAATGGTAACTAAGCACCTGATATAACGTCCTTGTCTGATCACACCACTCCTAAAAGGTCATGACTCTAACAATGTACAACCAAACAGGTTGCACTTTTTCCACCACCCTGGCATACCGTGGCATAGATAGCATATATCTTCAAATGGGAAACCTGTCAGCAGTGACTCACATAAAATGTGAAAAAATGCCGCCACATTCCGATCTCAAAATAGCCTTATCTTATCCCGATGTCTATATAATTGGTTGCGTTTCTTCACCTTTCAAGAAAATATTTTTTGATCAGACAGGTAAGTAAATTATTCACCGGATCCCGTACAGCCCTGTCGATAATCGTCCAGGATGTTAAAGAAAAGTAAAATGATTCTCTCTGTGTGACAGGTAATTCCTGTCAAAGTAAATGATGTTATGAGTACCGGTGTTTTAAGATCACTCACTTCTCAGCATGTTTTTATATTGGCTAGTATTGCTTGTGCTGACGTAAACCCTGCTCGGAGGTCGTGCAGGAAGCAGAGCTGGTGGCTTATAGCCCGTTCTTTAAACAGTAGTACTTAAGGACACTATTGTATTTTGAATCTCAACGTTTATATGTTATCGTGTCTGATTGGTTCTCGTGGATCTGGAGTGGTGGGATAGCCTAGTGGTTAAAATGTTCGCTCGTCACGCCGAAGGCCTGGGTTCAATTCCCACATGGGCACAATGTGAAACCCATTACTGGTGTCCCCCCGCCGTGATATTGCTGGAATATTGCCAAAGGTGACGCAAAGGTCAACTCACTCACGCACCCTTGGGGATCTTTCACTAACATGTTTTTGTTCCTTTTAAAGCCAGAGGATAGAACACCAGATAAACACTTAACAGTTTTGTTATTTCTACAGGATGCTGTGTATTATAGTACTGACGGTTTTGGCAGGTGCGCTAGGTGCCCCAACGTAAGTTGTACCTTCCTGATTAAAGCGTCAAACTCCTTTCAATTTGATTAAATTATGAATATTGTAATGTTGAAATGCTTATGTATAGAAACATCATTTAAACATATATTTTTTAAATAATGCCTATGAGACATTAAATTATAACTCACTCACTCACTCACTCACTCAGTCACTCATGAAAAATCTCTGCTTAAAGTAGAATCGATTTACGATTCAGGCTATTCAAGATCATGGTTAGGCATTGCCATAAAATCATAGTCATGATGCCTCACCGGTTGCATCAGTGACAAATACATGCAAAAGCAAGTCAATTTTTCACCTGACAGCAACACGATAATATATGGTAAATGTCAAAATAGAGATTAGATCGTAAATCATGTTTGTCAGCGGTGTGACAAATTTGGAAATGACCACATGACCAAACTGACCGCCTGCACTGACCCTAGATATACACACTGAATTAGGGTCTGAACGCAGACAACCACTAGCAGAGGAAAGATACAGTACTCAGCTGAAGATGGTTCAACTTTCAACTTTCAGCACCCAGCCCGGAGCGTCGACTACCCTTGACCTGCTTGCTATTATCACTAATTCCTTCAACCATGTCGACGCTGACAGCAATGGACAGCTTGACGTTTCAGAGTTCTACAAAGTCTTTGAAAGCTACGACACTAACCGTGAGTGAAGCCCTTAACCAGAGTTCCTGTTTTTCTCTTAGTTCCCGTTTACCATTGTCGTCACCAAGCATTGTAAAATATCAACATGAATAGCATTACAGCAATGTCGTGTAGGTTCTTCTGGTAAATATATTGACAGACTGGATAACCCGCTATCTGGTCTAAGCTCACACGGATGACTACGGTAATTAGCTTGGACAAAGTACTGTGACTATGTGTCCCAGTCCACCCAGCTGTGAATGGGTACCTCGTTAGGATGAGAAAAACCACGATAACTCGGTGCGCCTAGTGGCTGCAAGAGTTGTATCCTCCCCAGGGAGTTGAGATTGATAATGCGATGTGCCGTTGAGATTGACATCCAATGATCGTGGAAAAAAATACCAGCGCCTTGAGCATGCACTAGTTGCCTGGATATGAACGCTATATAAATACCCTATAATAATAAAACAATCAGAAAAAATCAGCGCGCGTTTTGAGGAGCCTTCTTCTGAAGCCATTCCACTCTAAGGCTTTGCCATCAAAACCGTATTCCCTTCTTCTGTGACGGTGCAATTCGAGAGGACTGGAGAGGTCCATGTCGATGGACGCTTTGAAACGCTATATTTGTTTCATCTTCAGTTTTTTCTTTTATGACATTTAAAACAAAACCAGATGCAAAACGTAATCGTGGACCTCTAACCTTATGGAGTAGACACATGCGCGCGCGCACACACACACACACAAATACATACATATGCACGCATGCACACACGCACGCATACACACATACATACATTGTTTTCTCTTTGCCTCCAGATGACCATAAAATGAGCATCCACGAGTACGTGCACGGCACTAACACCAACAAGGCCATTGCCCAAGAGGTGTTCAAGTTCGTTGACCACGACCACGATGACGTTCTTACCCGGGCAGATACGAACAGGATCTTCAGGACGTACGACACCAACCGTGAGCATATCTTGAATCAAAGTCTGAAACACAGTTGGCGCAAGTACTGACAGGCGTTGACTTCAGGTCATTGTATGTTGGTACATGTTGGTACAGTTCTGTGAATGACCAAAGAAGGTTAGAGTCACAGTGAAGGTGTTTCATTGAATACCTTCTGCTATGGACATGTCTGTGATAAATCATGAACCTATAATATATGAAGCAGGAAATAGTGACCTTATTGCAATAGATTGTTCTGTATTATCTGAGATTGTAATTATAGGGAAATGTATTTGGAGAATATTCTAAACATGGGGCCCACCATTTAATATTAGGGACCGGAGAGCTTGCGTGTATGGTGACTCGATACTGTTTTCAGCTACATATACATAAACCAATTGTTTCCGTAGGTAAAAATATTTATCCAAATATTTATAAATTAAACACTTACAAGAAAGTATATAGTGAGGTTGACATTTTTTGCTTATAATGGTGTTTTGGGGAGTTTTCGGTACAGTTTATATATGTCTGAACAGAAATTCCGATTCATATGCACAAGGAAACAGATTAAGAAGATGGGGACACTGTAGTCCTTTTTCTGAACTTTCGCGTATAGTGAGTGCGTGAGTTTAGTTTTACGCCAAATATTCCAGCTATATGGCGGTGGTCTGTAAATATTCGAATCTGGACCAGACAATCCAGTGATCAACAGCATAAGCATCGATCTACTCAAGAGAGAACCGATGGCATCTGTCAACCAAGTCAGCGAGCCTGACCACCCGATCCTGTTTGTCGCCTCTTATGACAAGCATGGGTTACTGAACAACAATTCTAATATAATTTCGGGCATATAATGACCCCACATCACCAGTACAAAAGAACGGATCACATCTTACATTCACATAGTTTAAAATACATATCATGTATATCTTGTAATTCACAAGGGTAGGATTATCTTTGGTTTCTTAATGACTCTAGGCTATATATTTGTATTAAAAACGCACCAACATATTGTCAGGATGTAACAAAACAAGACCTTTCGTTTTGATACTTAGCGTCAAACGAATATAATGTCTGAAGCGTTAAAAACACTGCGTCATCAGCTAAAAAGAAAGAAAGCATTTAATAGGTCTGGAGACAGTTGTTAATTAGTCCACGTGATGACAGTTGTTAATTAGTCCACGGGGGCGTGGTGGGCGAGATAAGGCCTGGATAAGGCACCAGGCTAGTGATCCAGCTGTGACCGGGTGTACAAACCTTGGAGTCAAATTTATGTGCAGTCTCTTTCGGTGTTGTCACAACCCCTAGTGTACAGTACGCAACCCTATGCACTTAAAAGAACCCACGAATCCGTTGGTATATGACCAGATGGTGGCCACATGAATACGTGCAAAAGTATAGTTGCGGGTACAGCAACGTCCAGTAAACTTGGACAAAGTACTGTGACTATGCGTCCCAGTCCACCCAGCTATGAATGGGTACCTCGTAAGGATGGGAAAGCCGCAATAACTCGGTGCGTCTTGTGGCAGCAAGAGCTGTATGATCCCCAGGGAGTTGAGATTGATAATAAGATGTGCTGTTGAGATTGACATCCAATGACCAAGGAAAAAGATACCAGCGCCTTGAGCATGCACTAGTGCGTGGAATTGTGCGCTATATAAATATCCAATAATAATAATAATAATTTCAGCTATTGTAGGAATTTGTACGGGAGGATAGTCAAGATTTGGTATTCTTTTGCACAGATGTTTCATATGTAATGCATAGGAATGATCAATTCATTGATAAGCAATGAAGAAAGGGTTTGATGAAGCCTCCTTCACTGTATACAACCGGGAAATCAACATATCTGAAAACGTCGCACAGGGTACAACAGTGTCATAAATACTTTTTATTTTATTATTTTTAACCATTTTGGAATAAAGATCATTAGTTCATAGCTGATACCAACGTATAGAAGTATTTGCACAATCGTTCTACTGAGGTGCCTTTGCCTTGATGTTAATTGTGGGAACGTTTATTTAAACCATGGAAAGAATATTGTCTGACAGTTTACTTCAAGGTATTTGTCTGTTGCCAAAAACCGACATTTGCCACATAGTAATCTTACATTTGCTCTTTTTCATGTTTTAAGACGACGGTACCATCACTATCAACGAATATATCCACGAATACAAGACGGTAAGTGTTTCGTAACAGGTTACTCCAAAACTATAGGGTAAAGAATAAAATAACCAATAACAACAAAAAACGAACAACTTATATAGACAATTTGTACAAATTTTGGTTGCATTCAGTCTAGTAATATTATGACTGAAAAATTGATTCTCAGTTCAAACTAATAAAACCTAAGGTTCCACATCTCAGTATACTTGTTTGGGAATATATTGTTAAGATGGTATAGTATATGACACCCGTGAAGATCCGGGTTAGAATTGATCTTCAGCAGCCCATGCTTGTTGTAAGAAGCGACTAACGTGATCGGGTGGTTAGGCCCGCTGACTTGGTTGACACATATCATCGTATCCCAATTGCGTAGCTCGATGATCATGCTGTTGATCACTGGATCGTCTGTTCCAGACTCGATTATTTATACCGCCGCCACATAGCTGGAATACTGCTGTGTGCAACGTTAAGCAAAAACAAGGATGCATGACATATGCTTGTAGCGTTAACGCAAGGAATCTGAGAATAATCATACTATCAGATACAGAAAATCAGAAAAATCGGTAGATATGTTGACATTAGGTCTACATGCCAACAAAAGATGCTGACTCTGCCGAATTAAACGAGCTGCCAGTGATTGTCAGCAGATCAAGTAGGTCAACACCATCTTCTTTGAAAGAACATCTAACGGAATACAAACATTTGGACAATTAATATACAATATAGAAGTGTAATATATTGACATTTATTGTAAGATAATGTACTAGGTGCCTGTTTGTTTTCTTATTCAGATCTACGAAAAAATACTTCTTGGTATTCAACATCACACCCGCCGTGAGTAAATATGATGACTTAACTGACATAGAATAATTCCTTCGTAAGACATAGACTAATGTCAAGTAATCTTTGACACGGTGAAATTGCGTGTAGGACAAATTGTTATACACTAACTGTTCTCAGTGGCAAAAGTTTTTGTGACACACAAACAGCAAGCAGAATCAATGTTTAACTTTTCCTTGCCGCCAATGAAATGTTATTTCATGGAAAGATAATGTTTCAATGTATGGCTACGATCAACATTCCATAAGAACAGCGCATCGGACATATTCAAATGAGCCACAACTCAAGAGGGGTTCACAAGCAAATTCACACGTTCATTAGCGAGTGTGTCCACCTTGTGCATTGATGCAGGCTTAGCGCCTTCGCCTCATCGAGATTTAAGTGCTGGGAAAGATCAGTTTAAAGCCGTGGACGGATTTGGCGGAGTTCCTGCACCGTTGTTGGAGGATTCGGATGACGTCGTTAATGTCGCTCCATTTCATCCGATGCGTCTTCAAATCAGGGTATCTTGTGTGCCAGGGTAACACATCAACGTTTCTGACTAAGATACTGTTACAACTCGAGCAACTTGTGGTTTGGAATTATCGTATTATCACTCCAGGGCCGTACTGTTCTTCGGCTTTTGTAAAACACTCGTTCTCTGGTTCAAATCCAAAACTTCATTCACAAGCTTACCAATGAAAATCGATGTCCCATGTCACAGTATCTTTTGCCTCTGAGTAAAACACAAGAATCTGTAGACAAAGGTAGTGGAAGTCCTTGACAGCTTCTCCTCGAAGGGGGTTTAAGTATTGTAAACGTATTGTCCGAAAACCTTCAAAGTATATTCAAACTTACTGCTATTTTAACCGCAGTATAAATGTCATTCTAGTTTTTGGCTTGATTGCCAAACGTTTCTAATAGCTTAAGAGATTGTGTAAATCCAGCTAGGATTCACGCGGGACGCACATGTACTGTAAGGAAAGCCCCGTGGTCCCTATTATAGTGTTTTACCTTCAGTTGTTGGCAATCCATACCCGTGTTTTTCTTATATTGTATAGTCATCTACAGTTTAAATGTTTTAAATTTCATTACTAGTTTTAATATTATGTATGTGATAATCTGGTTGTTTTTCTGGCTTCATTGACAGGTGTTTATGGTTAACTTTTGATTATTGTAAACTGATTTAGTCACGATGTGGTTGATATACTGCCGATATGACTTAAAATCCTAACTCACTCACTCACTCACTCCTTGACAAGTTCCTTTTCCAATAAGCTTTGATTACACAACATATTGTAGCTACCCTAAAATCTCTCTGAAAGTTCTGCGGATGTGCTGTCCCAGATAGCATTCAGACGTTGGCCCAATGTTTGCCAACATTGCCAACGTTGGGCCAACGTCCGAATGCTATCTGGGGTATTATTGTAATTGGAACATATCGATAGAACACATTGTCATTGCTCTGATTGCATGTGCAATTTCTGTGTTGTATTTTGTCAACAGAGGCACATGTTCATCCAACCAAAGCTGCTACCAAATGAATGACCCAGTAGAAAAACGTATATTGTATATAAGCATCTCACAAAGAAGTGGAATAAACTATTACACAAATACAGCTGTGGTTTGTAATATCGCTATAAGGTGTCACTCATCCAGACACTGTTACATAAAAGAGGACCCGTGAAGGTCCGGGTTGGAATTGGTCTTCAGCAACCCATACTTCTCGTAAGAGGCGACTAACGGGTGGTTTCATTCAGTCTAATAATATTATGAATATATTTATTCTCAGTTCAAACTAATACAGCCTGATTCCACTTCTAAATATACTTGTTTTGGAATATATTGTTAAGATGTCATAGTATATGACACCCGTGAAGATCCTGGTTAGGATTGATCTTCATCAGCCCATGCTTGTCGTAAGAGACGACTAACGGGATCGGGCGGTCAGGCTCGATGACTTGGTTGACACATGTCATCGTATCTCAGTTGCGGAGATCGATACTCATGCTGTTGATCACTGGATTGTCTAGTCCAGACTTCATTACTTACAGACTACCGCCATACATAGCTGGAATATAACAGAGTGGGGCGTTGAACAACAAATAAATATAAAAACGACCATAGAGCTTGGATGATCGTGGCTCATTGGTTTTCTAATGCTGCAGTGTGGAATGTGACCCTGCCTAGATTCTGATCGCTGACACGCCGTGACAATTGAAACAAAGTGGCGTTAGAACCCAACAAACACTCACGCACACAGTATAAGACTGAATGAGTTGGGTGCACCAATTTGATATCAGTACGTGACAACTTGAAACAGAAGGAGGATTTCGAGTGACGTAGGTCGTAGAGTTCCAACTTCAGGAAAAACGCCGGATGGTTAGTAACGAAAGGAAAGGTGCGATGCGATTTCCGTCTGTCAATCTTGTAAACGAACGAAACTGTATTTTAAGCCGCACCCATAGGGATGCATTTTATTGCGTGAGAACGGTCTGAAGCCTTAAGTGCAAGTTTGAGATACAAGAAATGGGTTCCCTACATTGTGGATATGGACTTTTGCCACTTTAAGCAATCTTACAGGATACATCAGAAGTAGGGTTCGTTGGATTTTGGATACAATGCCACGCATCAACCAGGACAGTGAGTAAGACCATCTCAATCCGTTTTGATAAAGACCAATTTTAACCCGAAACTTCACGGGTCCGTTTTCCACAGACAAGAATGGGTTGCTAAAGACTCACTCTAACCCGGAACTTCACGGGTCCGTTTTCCACAGACAAGAATGGGTTGCTAAAGACCCACTCTAACCCGGAACTTCACGGGTCCGTTTTCCACAGACAAGAATGGGTTGCTAAAGACTCACTCTAACCCGGAACTTCACGGGTCCGTTTTCCACAGACAAGAATGGGTTGCTAAAGACTCACTCTAACCCGGAACTTCACGGGTCCGTTTTCCACAGACAAGAATGGGTTGCTAAAGACTCACTCTAACCCGGAACTTCACGGGTCCGTTTTCCACAGACAAGAATGGGTTGCTAAAGACCCACTCTAACCCGGAACTTCACGGGTCCGTTTTCCATAGACACGCATGGGATGCTGAAGACCAATTCTAACCTGTATTTCCACGGTGAGGTCAATGACTATCAGATTATCTCTGACAGTGGTACGTTATGTTCTCCACCATACAACAAAACAAATATACCAGTAGAAGTGTTTATTCCGCACAGGATGCTGTAGTACCCTGAAGTATGAGCCCAGCTGTACACTGCAGGATTCAGGACTTGGTTGCCATGGTAGCAGCTGTAGCTGTTGGCATACATACACATTAGTGTCAACAGAATTGTCTAGGTGGTCATCAACATAGCACTATCTCTTGTATGAAGCTGGTATGATGAAGAGGGACCACTCTTATGAATAGGCAACCTCTTTATTGAAATAGATGCGACGTTTAGGTGTAGATGCTAACACCGTTATCGCCTGCTTGATGCCGTTGTTAGCTTCTACACCAAAAACGTGGCATCTATTGGAATAAGGAAGTTGTCTATCCAAAAACAAGGTACCTCTTCCAGCATTACTTGATTGATTGATAAACGTTCATCTTTGGACTGATTCTTGCTATCTAGGATGCTTTGCTTTATGTGTCAGTAACAGAGAATTACAGCATATTGGCGAGACATGGCAAGCAGAATTACAATGAACAGAGATATTGTTTCAGGGGTGGAAATAACCCATTGCCCGACGCCCGAGTCCAGTGTTTTTTTCTGTCGGGCAAGCATATTTGTCTATCACACTGTACCGGTGTCCAGTTGTCTTTCCAATCTTAATTATGTTGTTTATTTAAAAAATCAACAAGAAAATCGGCCAGTATAGTGGAAAAATTATCAGGGCAAGAGATTTTACTTGTGCCACTGTACCGGAGTACACTAGCAATTGTAAAGTTATTTCCAGCCCTGTTGTTTTAGGTATCATTTATTGTAGCTGAGGAATAGTTGGGGAGAGAGGTATGAAGATCATAGAAACTAACCCATAGTGGAGGGCGTGCAAAAAGTTATCACATATGTAAGCGGGATGACGTAAACAAAATACACTTTTGTATTTTTGCGATCGGTTACTTTTAAATTATATGTAAGGAAAATATTATCTTTTAGAATGTTGAGTGAACGTTTAATTTGTTGAATAACCTGGGGACAAATGAGTAATTTCTGTACTTTCAAAAACCAAAACTACTTCTAAAACACCATACAAACACCTCCTTCACTCACTTGGATACAGGCCTGCTGCTACGTTGTTGTAAATCTGAATCCGAAAACAAAAAAGACTTTAGTACAAATCAAACAGTGGTTGTTTCACATGTCATCAAGGGTGGTTAGGTGGGCTTGTGGTTAACGCGTCCGCTCGTCACGCTGACAACTCAGCAATGTGTGAACCCCATTTCTAGATTATTGCTTAAAGCGGTGTAAAACCATACTCACTCACTCACTCACATGTCATCAAGGGTGGTGAGGTGGGCTTGTGGTTAACGCGTCCGCTCGTCACGCTGACAACTCAGCAATGTGTGAACCCCATTTCTAGATTATTGCTAAAAGCGGTGTAAAACCATACTCACTCACTCACTCACATGTCATCAAGGGTGGTGAGGTGGGCTTGTGGTTAACGCGTCCGCTCGTCACGCTGACAACTCAGCAATGTGTGAACCCCATTTCTAGATTATTGCTAAAAGCGGTGTAAAACCATACTCACTCACTCACTCACATGTCATCAAGGGTGGTGAGGTGGCCTTGTGGTTAACGCGTCCGCTCGTCACGCTGACAACTCAGCAATGTGTGAACCCCATTTCTAGATTATTGCTAAAAGCGGTGTAAAACCATACTCACTCACTCACTCACATGTCATCAAGGGTGGTGAGGTGGGCTTGTGGTTAACGCGTCCGCTCGTCACGCTGAAAACTCAGCAATGTGTGAACCCCATTTCTAGATTATTGCTAAAAGCGGTGTAAAACCATACTCACTCACTCACTCACATGTCATCAAGGGTGGTGAGGTGGGCTTGTGGTTAACGCGTCCGCTCGTCACGCTGACAACTCAGCAATGTGTGAACCCCATTTCTAGATTATTGCTAAAAGCGGTGTAAAACCATACTCACTCACTCACTCACATGTCATCAAGGGGTGGAGAGGTGGCCTTGTGGTTAACGCGTCCGCTCGTCACGCTGACAACTCAGCAATGTGTGAACCCCATTTCTAGAGATTATTGCTAAAAGCGGTGTAAAACCATACTCACTCACTCACTCACATGTCATCAAGGGTGGTGAGGTGGGCTTGTGGTTAACGCGTCCGCTCGTCACGCTGACAACTCAGCAATGTGTGAACCCCATTTCTAGATTATTGCTAAAAGCGGTGTAAAACCATACTCACTCACTCACTCACATGTCATCAAGGGTGGAGAGGTGGCCTTGTGGTTAACGCGTCCGCTCGTCACGCTGACAACTCAGCAATGTGTGAACCCCATTTCTAGATTATTGCTAAAAGCGGTGTAAAACCATACTCACTCACTCACTCACATGTGATCAAGGGTGGAGAGGTGGCCTTGTGGTTAACGCGTCCGCTCGTCACGCTGAAAACTCAGCAATGTGTGAACCCCATTTTTCTAGATTATTGCTAAAAGCGGTGTAAAACCATACCAACTCACTCACTCACATGTATGCTAATCCCGATTGCGTAGATCGATGCTCATGCTATTGATCACTGCATTGTCTGGTCCTGACGCGATTATTTACAGACAGCCGCCATATAGCTGGAATATTGCTGAGTGCGGCATCAAATAACACACAAACTAATACTGGCAGGCACCACTGGTAATGTCCAACACCGCTCTGTTGACGCACGGAACAAGTTGTAAACCTATAAGACCTCCCATTGGCGCCTGGAGTCATTCAGAGACCATTTGAAATTTACCACCACTGCCACAACCTTTACGAAAGGGGGGTCATGTCGGCTTTGGGGCCATCAGAATAGGACGAGCTATTCGGAGGATCTCAGAAATATATTATAATTACCACCATTGCTGCAATATTTAAGGACAGATGATAACATCGGCTTTGGGGCCATCAGAATAAGATGAGCTATTCGGAGACCCTCTGCAATGTGTTACAATTATCGTCATTGCTACAACCTTTACGGAAAGAGGGCCATTTTGACTATAGAGCCATCAGAATCTGAGAAGCTATTCGGAGACCCTCTGACCACCATTGCTACAACCTTTATGGAAAAATGATCGTGTCGGCTTAGGCACAATCAGACGTACGAGAACCAATGAACCCGACCATGATTGTTGGTACGGCAGTTCCATTGTTGGATCAACCAAGGCGGAATGCCTACTTGTCATAGCCCATTTGACTAGCCTTTGCGTGTATTTATGACAGGACACCTTGTATCATCGCGACAGTCAAACACGGCTGCGTCTACACTTTGATTTGTCTAACGAATGTTGTCTAGAAGAAAACGTTTGGTCCCTGCGTATTCTATATTCTGTTATCTTTCTGAGGTTGTGTCCAACCTCGGAAAACTCGAAGTACTTACACAGATCCCTCCAAGTTCGACACAACTGTGTTTCGATGTTTTTCATAGTGAATCATAAACAAATTATGACGTATTTGGAATCGTATCATCGACGTCTCCGGAAAAGAAACACAACTAAAACTGTATGTGAAACATGAGTGATGAATAAGTCCAAAAGTATGAAACCAAAAACACCAGGTGTTTAAGATCACCATCGGCTGCACCTGTCAGCTCATTCAGAATACAAGTATACATTTTGTTGGAGACAGGATATTATGTTTCTTCACATTGTTTTTGTTCAATCGTATTTGTAAGCAAAATGTTTTGTATTTTCAAAACTTACCTTGGTATATTCCCTGACGAATTCTTGCTTACTAATTTCACCGTCCTCTGGAAATAGGAAAAGTATTTTTGTACAAATCCTCCAAGCATCCGTTTTTACATAGGGTTGATTTAGTAAATACAGTCACAATGGAATATGACTCCAGACAAGAACTTACTGCTGGAGGGGCGGTGGGGTAGCCTAGTGGTTAAAGCGTTCGCTCGTCAAGCCGTTTTACACGGGTTCGATTTCCTACATGGATACACGGAGTGAAACCCATTTGTTCTGGATTCCCCCGTCGTAATATTGCTGGAATATTGATAAAAGCGTCATAAAATTAAACTCACTCGCTCACTCACTCACTCACTCACTAACTTACTGTTGGTGTCGAAGAGATTGAAGACATCGGTCATCTCTGATCGGTCGACGCTGCCGTCACTGTTCTTGTCCATGAACTTGAAGACTAACTGAGCAACGGACTGAGAGACGTTTGTGTTGGCCATATACTCTTGGAGTGTCATCTTTTGGTCACCTGTGGCCAAAAACATATATTATTTAACCGTGCAGCCAATCTACGGTCAGTTGAGCTAAACAGTTTTTGGTGGAGTTTTGACCAATGAATGTATATTTGCCATTATCACAGCAGCTGTTTCCGGAATATGACAACATTTCGTTTGTCAAAAATTTCATCTCTTTGTTTACGTGAGTATAATGGCTCTGAACAAGTGTATAGTCGTGTAAACACTGACCCTTTCTACAAATATGTAAATGAATAAGTGGAAGTTTAAGAGCTAATTTTACCGTATAGCACATTTTAGGTAATGTGCGAAAGCATTTGGAGAGTGTTGACCAAAGTACGGGTATATTCTTCACACTTACGCAAAACAAAGTAGTTCTAGTTGAAGGAATAAACACTCGCTATTACTCAAAGATAGCTTCTTTTATCTAATTTTAAACCAGAAATCAATTTCAGTCAACATATTTTAGATTATCACTGCAGCTGTTTCCGGAATATGACAAATTATCACATATGTTTGACATATAACAGAATATGTTTGTCTACTTGAGGTTAAGGCTCTGAACCAGTGTATAGTACATTATCTTACCTTCATGTAAAATACTTTAATTTCATTGGTCAATGACGATTTAACAAGTTTCCGTGTCACCCCTACCAGGAGGGTGACAACTGGTAAAAATATTACTCGTTTCCACGGTAACCGCCAAACCGCCGAGAAGCTGTATCGCTAAAAATCGTATGACGTCATACTATGACGCGTGTTGTGCACTGAGTTCGAAAACTGTTCCATTAACTGTTTTTGAGTTCACTATGTTTAAACTATTTTACACATTGAGTTTAGCAGTTGTCCGAGGCACCTTGTGATATTTTTGCCAGTTGTCACCCTCTTTGGAGGGGGCACACGGACATTTGTTAACTCGTCATTGACCAATGAAATTTAAGCATTTTACATAAATGTCAGGTAAGGTCAGGTGAAATTGGGTTTGAGGTCGTGCTTGAGAATATTTCGCTCATATGACGACGTGCATACGTGTGTATGTGTATGTGCGGCTGCTTGTACTAGCCCAGACTTAAGCTGGTTTTAAAGTGCTAGCCCACTGAGATACCATGCCGCAGTGAAGCATGAATACCCCACTCAGACACAATTTACTGACTCCGAGCCGACCAGTCCTTGTTGTACCCATTAATGCCAAGCGCCAAGCAGGGACCAACAAGTACCATATTTTAACGTCTTTTGGTATGACGCGGTCGGGGATCGAACCCGCGACCTTCCGCTCTGCGGGCGGACGCTCTAACCACTACACCACGGAGGCGGTCACATAAAGGTAAGATAATGCGTCGTTTGCACACCTAACTTAAACATAATTAACCATTTTTATAGCAGTTTTAAGCTTGTCAGTATATGTTTCGAGTCGAGAGGCAAACGCCATTTTGTTTACAGAGTTTATCGATCTTCAAACAAAATTTAAACAAAATGATATTTTGTACATTTAACATGGCGGAAAGATAAACGCTGACATTTTCCACAGGTATGTATTTGATGATTAAGGGATGCCAATTTGACCGAGAGGCACATTTTAGGCAACGTAGGTAAGCACTTTGAATGCAGTGACCAAACTACGGGTGTATTCTTCACACTTACGCATAACAAAGTAGTTCCCGTATCATGAATAAACATTCATTTACACAAATTACACAAAGAGAACTACTTTTTAAATTTCACATCAGAAATTAATTTCAGTCAACATATTTAGTTGTGTTGGATAATTTAGCATCATATTAATTTGGAAAAATAGTTCGCTTGAGGTGAGAAGTTGAAATACTGTAGGCAAAATTCTGGGAAGGGAAACTTGAAATATGCTTGACGCAACATAATATTCATATTGTACCCTCGGGAAATCCCCAAGAAATGTAGATCTGGCCATAATCGGGTAAACGTCAAAATATTATCTTGTAAACATCCGGTTTCGGACAATGGGGAAATCTTAACTATAGGTCATTTTAGAAGTAAGTGAACAATCTCATTACCGGAAACTCCTCAAACATCAAAATAATTTCTATCCTTGCTGTATATTTACCTTAATCCTTCACAACTCGGAAATACTTTTATAACGCAGTTCAGTATGCTTGATTTTCTTCATTTAGACAGGTGAAAGGTATTCAAAGAAGAACAGTGCATAAAAATATCTGATTTATCTAGTTTCACTGAGGTAGTGAAAGTCACTCACCATTCGTGTCGAGTCTGTCAAAGGCCGCGTAAAACTCTTTTCTATCCACCTGCCCGTTACTGTCCGCGTCGATGATGTTAAAGGTAGCAGTGATAACAGCAGCCAGATCAAACGTTGTCGCTGCTCCTGGTGCTGTAGCTGTTGGCGTAGATACACATCAGTGTGAACAGAACTGTAAAGGTGGTCATGAAGCAAGCACTACCTCTTTCAGTGCCATTAAGAAGCTGGTGTGATGAAGAGGGGCCATTTTATGGACAGACAACTTCATTGTAATAGATGCGAGGTTTGTGTGTAGATGCTGAGACGGTGATAACATTGCGTCAGTTGGGGAGAGGTGAGGTGAGGTGAAATTGGGGTTAACGTCGTGCTTGAGAATATTTCGCTCATATGACGACGTGCATGCGTGTGTATGTGTATGTGCGGCTGCTTGTACTAGCCCAGACTTAAGCTGGTTTTATAATGCTAGCCCAGTGAGATACCACGCCGAAGTGATGCATGAATACCCCACTTAGACACATTATACTGACTCCGAGCCGACCAGTCCTTGTTGTACCCATTAATGCCGAGCGCCAAGCAGGGACCAACAAGTACCATATTTTAACGTCTTTTGGTATGACGCGGTCGGGGATCGAACCCGCGACCTTCCGCTCTGCGGGCGGACGCTCTAACCACTACACCACAGAGGCAGTTGGGGAGAGAGATATGGGGGATCATAAATCTGGCATGTGGCAGGGCGTGCAAAAAATTATCACATCTGTAAAATAGGCCACATAAACAAATTACACAGTTGATTTTTTTTCAAATCAGTGATTTAAAAAAAATATATTTAAGTAAAATATGATTGTTTAGAATGCACGTTATATTTGTTGGATAACGTTTGGACAAATGATTATTTTCGGTACTTTCAGGAATATAAACGACTCCTAAAGCACCATATAAACTCTTGTTTTACTCACTTGAAAACAGCCCTACTATTATGGCGTCGTAAATCTGAAACCCGAAAACAAAGAAGAGTTTAGTGAAATTCAAACAGGGGCTATTTCACATGTCATCAGGCGAGGTGGGTACCCTAGCCGTTAAAGCGTTCGTTTTGATTCCCCACATGGGTACAATGTCTGGTGTCCCCCGCCCTGATATTGCTAGAATATTTCTAAAAGTGGCGTGAAATCATTAGTTGTGTTCCGATTAATTGAAATAATCGAAGATTGGTCGCAGTGGCCAAACGACCAAGTAATCGATCACATTTTCTCATAATCGAACACAAACGATTTTGGAACCGCTGTAATAGAGTTTGAAATACTTGATGATGGAACATATCTAGGACGTTGTCAGGGCCGGAAATACTTGGTGATGGAACATATCTAGGACGTTGTCAGGGCCGGAAATACTTGGTGATGGAACATATCTAGGACGTTGTCAGGGCCGGAAATACTTGGTGATGGAACATATCTAGGACGTTGTCAGGGCCGGAAATACTTGATGATGGAACATATCTAGGACGTTGTCAGGGCCTGAAATACTTGGTGATGGAACATATCTAGGACGTTGTCAGGGCCGGAAATACTTGATGATGGAACATATCTAGGACGTTGTCAGGGCCGGAAATACTTGATGATGGAACATATCTAGGACGTTGTCAGGGCCGGAAATACTTGATGATGGAACATATCTAGGACGTTGTCAGGGCCGGAAATACTTGATGATGGAACATATCTAGGACGTTGTCAGGGCCGGAAATACTTGGTGATGGAACATATCTAGGACGTTGTCAGGGCCTGAAATACTTGATGATGGAACATATCTAGGACGTTGTCAGGGCCGGAAATACTTGGCGATGGAACATATCTAGGACGTTGTCAGGGCCGGAAATACTTGATGATGGAACATATCTAGGACGTTGTCAGGGCCGGAAATACTTGATGATGGAACATATCTAGGACGTTGTCAGGGCCGGAAATACTTGATGATGGAACATATCTAGGACGTTGTCAGGGCCGGAAATACTTGATGATGGAACATATATAGGACGTTGTCAGGGCCGGAAAACGCGTTTAATTCTTAGAAAACTCACTTCACTTTCTGAAAAGTCATGACTGAATATTTCTTGAAGAATCTTGGAAGTTTATGTTACACTGGAACTGAATCATTTTCCACTGGATGTGAAATTTGCAAATGTAGTTTGTGCAGTTCCTAACTAAGCAAAAAAACAACAGAAAACCAAATATTTTTTCTTTATACTTATCTGCAACTACAACCTGAATAGGAAAATCTAAAATATGACGCTAACCATTTTTTATCGATGATTGGTCGTTTCTATTGAACCAATCATCAATTGTGAGATTTCAACCAATTCCCAGCACTAGAAATCATACTCACTTACTCACATGTCAGCATATCCCGATTGCGTAGATCGATGCTCATGTTATCGATCAATGCATTGTCTGGTCCAGACTCGATTATTTATAGACAGCCGCCATATAGCTGGAATATTGCTGAGTGCGGCATTAAAACAGTTTAACAAAGCCAACATGGCCATCTTTCCAATTAATGATGGCAGTTAATTGTTGGTAAAGTCCTACATTGCTCCTTTGACGCACGGAACAAGGTCTCTTTTACCAAAGGTGTAAACATATAAGACCTCACATGGAGCTTTTTGGAGACCACTTGCAATTTACCACCATTGCTACAACCTTTACGGAACGATGGCTATATTGGCTTTGGGGCCATCTGAATCAGATGAGCTATTCGGAGACACTGTGCAATGTAGTACAATTACCACTATTGCTACAACCTTTACGGAAAGACGGCCATGTTGGCTTTGGGGCCATCTGAATCAGATGAGCTATTTTCAGCGGAGACCTTCTACAATGTAGTACAATTACCACTATTGCTACAACCATTACGGAAAGACGGCCATGTTGGCTTTGGGGCCATCAGATAAAACGAGCTAATCGGAGACCCTCTGCAATTTATTACCACCATTGCTACAACCTTTATCGTGTCGGCTTAGGCACCATCGGAATCAGACGTACGAGAACCAATGAATTCGACTATGATTTTTGGTACGGCAGTTCCATTGTTGGATTAACCAAGGCGGAATGCCTACTTGTCATAGCCCACTTGACTAGCCTTTGCGTGTATGTATGACAGGACACCTTGTATCATCGCGACAGTCAAACACGGCTGCGTCTACACTTTGATAACGTACGGTTGTCTAAAAGACAACGCTTGGTCCCTGCGTATTTCTTATTCTGTTATCTGTACAAACTCGAAAAACCCGAAGTATTTACACAGATCCCTTCAAATTCGACACAACTGTGTTTTAATGTTTTTCTTGGTGAATCATAAACACATTATGACGTATTGGGAATCGTATCATCGACGTCTCCGGAAACACAACTAAAACTGTATGTGAAACATGAGTGATGAATAAGTCCTGAAGTATGAAACGAAAAACACCAGGTGTTTAAGATCACAATCGGCTGCACGTGTCGGCTCATACAGAATACAAAGTATGTTTCTTCACATTTTGTTGGAGACAGGATATTATATTGTCTGAAAGGACATTTTTTTAATGTTCCCCAACATCCATTATGTCCACTGCACGATGCAATCGTATTTGGAAACAAAATGAACAAAGTATGTTTTGTATTTTCAAAACTTACCCTCGTATATTCCCTGATGAATTCTTGAATAGTTATGACACCGTTCTCTGAAAATAAGAAAAGTATACATATTTGTAACTAACAAGGAAGAGGTAAGGTAAAGAATAATTAGGCATTCGGATTGAGGAATATCCCTGGTATCCGTGTGTGTGTGTGTGTGTGTGTGTGTGTGTGTGTGTGTGTGTGTGTGTGTGTGTGTGTGTGTGTGTGTGTGTGTGTGTGTGTGTGTGTGTGTGTGTGTGTGTGTGTGTGTGTGTGTGTGTGTGTGTGTGTGTGTGTGTGTGTGTGTGTGTGTGTGTGTGTGTGTGTGTGTGTGTGTGTGTTTTTGAGCCTAGTGGCTAAACCGTTCGCTCGACACGCTGAAGACCCGCGTTCGATTCCATGGGTAAATTGAACCGGTTTCTGGAATATAGCTTAAACTAAACTCACTAATTCCATGGTGCCAAGTATGATGGCCAAATTGTGGATGCTGTCGATAAATTCTTTGTCTTTTCTCAAACCTACAAATCTGTAATTGGTAACTAGTGCTTATAACTTGCATCTACTGTAGGAGATTTTTTAAATAACATCAATGTAAATGTATTCAAGTCATAAAATGGCTGAAATGTTGTCGGCATAGCCTTTTATTTTCACTCACTTATTCAATCATATATATCTTTGATTCACCAAGTCATATATCCGATAGACAGTCTGTACCCCAGGGTATGGTCGATATAAACACTATCACAACCATGGAATCTTCGTATGAATAAAGAATGGGTTTTGACACTGTTTTTGTCAACTTCGCTGCTATCTTTACCAAATACCTAAGTCATTCGCGAGTTGGATCCGGGTTGGAATTGGTCTTCAGCAACCCATGCCTGTCGTAGCGAGGGGGGGGGAGGGGCGACTAACGGGATCAGGTAGTCTGATGCATATCACTGTATCCTAACACATGTCATAACCCTCCCCATTGCATAGATCTATGCCCACGATGTCAATCACTTGATTGTCTGGTCCAGACTTGATTGCTTACAGACCGCTGTCATACAGCTGGAAAATTGCGGAGTGTGGTGTGGGCTCACAATAAGGAAATGACTGACTGACTGACTGAGTTTGGTTTTACGCCGCTTTTAGCAATATTCCAGCAACATCACGGCGGGTGACACCAGAAATAGGCTTCACACATTGTGCCCATGTGGGGATTCGAACCCGGGTCTTCGGCGTGACGAGCCAACGCTTTAACCATTAGGCTACCCCACCGCCCCAATAAGGAAATGAAGGATACATTATCGATAATCGAGATACTATTCCTGACATATCCGCATATTAAAAATTGATGCGGAGTCAATAATCCAAGGTGCCGCAACTCTCCGTGGGACCCTGGGGTCAGCAGAAACTCTCCGTTGGACCCTGGGGGTCACCAGAAACTCTCCGTTGGACCCTGGGGGTCACCAGAAACTCTCCGTGGGACCCTGGGGGTCACCAGAAACCTATGGCAAACATCTGAGTCCAGAACAAAAACAGCTGCGGTTATACTCTTACAAATCCTACAAGCATCCGTTTTACATAGGGTTGATTTAGTAAATACACACAATGGATATAACTCCAGATAAGTTTTTACTGTGGGAGGAGAGAAGTGTGTGTGTGTTTGTGTGTGTAGGGGGGGGGGGGAGGGGTAGTGGTTAAAGCATTCGCATGTTAAGCCGTTTACACGGGTTCGATTCCCTACACGGGTACAATGAGTGAAGCCCATTTGTTCTGATTTCCGCCGTCGTGGTATTGCTGGGATATTGCTAAATGCTTAGTAAAACTAAACTCGCTCACTCACTCACTCACTCACTCACTCACTCACTCACTCACACACTCATTTACTCACTGTTGGTGTCGTAGAGCTTGTAAACATCGTTCGTCTCTGCTCGGTCGACGCTGCCGTCATGGTCCTTGTCAAAGAACTTGAAGACTAACTGGGCAACGGACTGAGAGACGTTTGTGTTGGTCACATACTCTTGGAGTGACATCTCATGGTCATCTGTGAAACAAAAACATATATTATTTAACCGTGCAGCCAATCTACGGTCAGTTGAGCTAAACAGTTTTGGGTGGAGTTTTGACCAATGAATGTATATTTGCCATTATCACAGCAGCTGTTTCCGGAATATGACAACATTTCGTTTGTCAAAAAATTAATCTCTTTGTTTACTTGAGTATAATGGCTCTAAACAAGTGTATAGTCGTGTAAACACCCTTTCTACAAATATGTAAATGAATAAGTGGAAGTTTAAGAGCTAATTTTACTGTATAGCACATTTTAGGTAATGTGCGAAAGCATTTGGAGAGTGTTGACCAAAGTACGGGTATATTCTTCACACTTTCGCAAAACAAAGTAGTTCTAGTTGAAGGAATATACACTCGCTATTACTCAAAGATAGCTTCTTTTATCTAATTTTAAACCAGAAATCAATTTCAGTCAACATATTTTAGAGATGTATTGGATAATTTAGCATTATATTAATTTGGAAAAATAGTTCGCTAGTGAACGCACTGTACACCAATACGACCGAGACTGTCATAACGCCGGTGAAAGGTTGAAATTCTGTAGGCAAAATCCAGGGCAGGGAAACTTGACACATGCTTGTCGCAACATACTATTCATATTCTGTAGTATATTTACTAAACATAAGTTGTGTAAATGGAAATGATGGTTTACTGTCCGAAATCTTGTCGTAAGCTTGGGAGACGATTCCAGAATTGAACCTTCGGGAAATCACCAAGAAAAGTAGATCTGGGTGCCGTTGTACAAACGATCTTGGCCCTAAGCCCTAATCTTAACATACCTACGACTGGCGTAGCGTTAGGGTTGTTTGAACAATGGCACCCCGGTCATAATCGGGTAAACGTCAAGCATGTATCTTGTAAACGTACGGTTTCAAAGTTTGGGGAAATATGGACTAGAGGTCGTTAATTGAGAAGCAAATACACAATCACATTACTGGAATCTCTTCAAACATCAAAATAATTTCTATCCTTGCTGTATCTTTACCTTAATCCCTCACAACTATGACATACTTTGTAACGTGTTCAGCATTTACCACAGATAAAAGGTATTCACAGAAGAACAGTGCTTAAATATATTTTATTTACCTATTTTCACTGAGGTATTGAAAGTCACTCACCATTCGTGTCGAATTTGTCAAAGGCTTTGTAAAACTCTGCAAGATCCACCTGTCCGTTTTTGTCCGCGTCGAGGGTGTTAAAGGCAGTAGTGATGACCGCAACCAGATCAAGTGTTGTCGTAGGCCCGGAGGGTGTGCTGAAAGATGAAAGTGGCATCAAAACCAAAGATGTGATGGTAACTCACATGTCCAAGATTAATGTCTTGGCACTGGAATGTTCTATTCAGTCAGGATTTTTATTCAGAAGCAAGTACAATGTGAATGACCCCCCTAAAATGTACGTACAAGTAAGTGTCCCCCCTTGCATATCATGTACAAAATCAATGACCCCCCTCCCCCTTCCCATATTTTTTAAGCATAATGTTGTAGTATTTTTACGTACCAAATTGCTGACCCCTAGTACATGTGTACAAAATTGCTGACCCCCTTCCTTCCCAGAACAAAATGGGTGAACCCCCCGCCTTAAAATCATCATCACCCCCCTAGCCATAAATGATGAACGGTCCCTAAGGTGAAAACAATATTGCTTTGTCTCCCATTTCAAAGGATGACATTCTTTGTCATAACTAGGCGATGGTCCATTGTCGGAGCAGAGGCGTAGCCTAGTGGTTAAAGTCCCGTTCGTCATTTTAAACACTTGGGTACGAACCCCCGCATAACCTAGATATGATTATCCAATTCCTTGTGTCCACCGCCGTGGTATTGCCGGAATATTGCTAAAAGTGGCGTAAAACCACACTAAATCAGTCTATAGTCAGCTCCGCCATTATTATCGGCAACACTTACGTCATGGGAGCAGCAAGGGCACCGGCAACGAGCGTCAACAAAATAATACCCAGCATTCTGAAGCAAATACAGATCTAGTAGTAGTAGTAGTAGTAGTAGTAGTAGTAGTAGTAGTAGTAGTAATAGTAGTAGTAGTAGTTTGTTGTTTAACGCCTCACTCAGCAATATTCCAGCTATATAACGGCGGTCTGTAAATAATCAAGTCCACACAATCCAGTGATCAACATCATGAGCATCGCTCTACGCAATTGGGATACAATGACATGTGTTAAACAAGTCAGTAAACCTAAGTACCCGAACCCATTAGTCGCTTCTTACGACAAGCATGGGTTGCTGAAGTCTAATTCTAACCTGGATTTTCACGGGTCCATTATTTCTGTAATGGTAGTTGTAGTGACACTGGTGGCGGTAGTGGTATTATAAATATAGTACAACTAGTCCAAACGAAAATCGTCTAAAAATGTTCTTTGAGAATGCAGCAGATAGGGACGTGGTACATATTTGCGGCATACACCTCAAGAGGTTAAAAGATGTCAGCGAATACTGCTTTTCTCCCCAGAGGTGAGGTGAGGTGAAATTGGGTTTAACGTCGTACTTGAGAATATTTCGCGCATATGACGACGTGCATACGTGTGTATGTGTATGCGCGGCTGCTTGTCCTAGCCCAGACTTAAGCTGGTTTTAAAGTGCTAGCCCACTGAGATACCATGCCGCAGTGAAGCATGAATACCCCACTCAGACACAATTTACTGACTCCGAGCCGACCAGTCCTTGTTGTACCCATTAATGCCGAGCGCCAAGCAGGGACCAACAAGTACCATATTTTAACGTCTTTTGGTATGACGCGGTCGGGGATCGAACCCGCGACCTTCCGCTCTCCGGGCGAACGCTCTAACCACTACACCACGGAGGTGGTCTTTTCTCCCACACATTGTGAGATCTGCATTTACTCATTCGTTAATGAGATATATTACAGATATATTTGAGCATGGTGACAATGTTATGCAGTGCAATAGCAAGTGATCATATCTATATGTACTTACATGTGTAATCAGAGAAGGCCTTCTGGAAAGTAGAAAGATGCATGGTCATGGCAGACATTATATAGGCAAGATCTGATAAGATAGGGTTTATTTAAGATCGGAGGTTATCAAAAATGCACAGAATTGACACTTATCATGAACGACACATTTCCAGTCCTAGTCCAGCCATGTCAAGACGTCCTGTAATAATCCATTCTGAACCAGACAAAAACAGTTGTTCATATTATGAACCGCATCACAATAATGGTGAGTGAGTGAGTGAGTATTTAGCAATATTCCAGCACTATCACGGCGGGGGACACCAGAAATGGGCTTCACACATTATGCCCATGTGGAGAATCGAATCGTCTTCTGCGTGACGAGCGGACGCTTTAACCACTAGGCTACCCCACCGCCCCTCAATGATGATAATGACACAGTAAGTTATAGTGTCTGCCAATCATAACGCCACATAGATGGGGCACGATGACAGTTCCCGAACCAAAGCGATCCTACATAAAATCAGTACCTGTATTTCACGTAAATAACTCAATTTCTTATTCTGCCCAAACTTATCTGTTTGGAAGGTACGTGTCTGTCAGATCATAGGGTATTCTGTTGGTGCATGCAGAATCTGTTCTGATAATACAATGAATTTCAGAAACTGTAACAAATACTAGTATACTAGAATAGAAGTTCGACAACTGGGAGTCCAGGGTTTCCTTTCACGAAGCAACCTTTACTGAGGTTAACCTTAACTCCCATTCTTTACCATTGCACTAAGGTTACCTCAGTGACTTACGATCACATTAGTGCTTTGTGAAAGGAGGCCTAGGTCTAGTAAATTCTGAGAGTGTGGGTTCGGATCTGAATGGGACTTAACGACAAAAGATTATTTTATTAAGGGTGTGTTATTATCAATATGAGGGTTGTCTTTTAGTGGTATTTAGAAGTTAATATAGATGACCAAGATATTTTATGGATTTAAGCTTCTTTATTCTTTCCCACACAACGTTTCGGGATCATTACAAATCCCTTCCTCAGGTGAAGTGGCGTCATAGTGTCATCTGTCACTTCACCTGATGAAGGGATCTGTAATGATCCCGAAACGTTGTGTGGGAAGAATAAAGAAGCTTAAATCCATAAAATATCTTGGTCAGTGTGAGAGTTTTTCAGGTTTGGTCCTCGTTTACAGTGTATGCAATGACTAAATATTATATAGGAAATGTACTTTTGCAATTACAGGTTACAAACTAAAACTAATGCTACCTTTGTGTTCGATATAACATAGTTATTTGTACTTATTTGGTGTTACTTATTGTATAGATATAATTGTGGCATTTGTCAGAGCAAGTTTAAAACGGTCCCATCTAATATTTCTGCCCCATTTCAAGTAACGGCAACTTTCCTGGAAACGTGTCCTTGTTTCACATAACCTTCCTACTGTACTCAGGAGAGGGTCAACTGGTAGGCAGAAAGAAACAGAGGAAGAACCTAGGGAATGTCAGCCACACAGAACCACGTCCCTACGTTCTATCACCTTACTGTCATTGTGTGATGTTATTATCTAGGAATTACGTAACTTAATAAATTTGTCAAAAATGAATGAATGTGACATCATATTGCTTCAACTGACCAGTCAGCATTGAAAGTCAATTACATCAGTGTAAGTGCCGGAAGTTACGGCACCAGATTTTTCCTTCCGTTCTTGACGCATGTGATAATAAGTATGTTGCAATACATCCAAGTGTTTTCTTTCACACGACATTTTATGGGACAGTGAGATAAGATAGCATTATATCTACCTGTTGACGTAAGTAAGGTGTATGTACGTGGGTGGTAGTCAACCCGTCTGGGTGGTCCGATACACTGGTTCGAATCTTTATAATCTGGCTTTTGTCTCTACACAAAATGGCAAAATGTGCATATTACATATTGGAGCTCCCTGGTTTGACAAGCACCTCGTATTAATATATAATAACTTAAACGTATCCTTAACAACGTTGAAATCAGACCAACATATATGACAGATTCTATGTGAGAAGGGACAGCGTCCAGACTGGGGCCAAAGGTTATACTTGAAGAGAGGAGTGCACATAAGACGTGGTGGCACCGTGGAAAGTGGCTATATGCAAAACGGGTGTCCATACTCAGGTCAGTCCTTATACGAGAAATGGGGCGTGTCATGTGGTGGGCATCGTTTCCCTCTGGTTATACCAGAAAGGAGTGTCTCCACATGTGCTGACTTGAACATTAACCACTCCGTTATAAGTCGTCTTGTGGGGACTCCGTGGCCAAACGTAAAGAATCTCCGAAAACCTTTGAGACCAAAGAATGAAAATGATCGTGCTGTCTGAGTCCTAATTCGTTTGGCAAAACGCTATCTTATTACCCAGCCGAAGAATTGAGCCGGCATTAGAGAGTGGGAGTTCCAACCAGTACCATCAGAGGAAGGGTGCGTAATTCCATCATTGATGTTGGCGTCACCGCCCACAAGATCACCTTTAAAAATGCCATTGATGAGACATCAGAAGGCAGCTGAAGCAATTTCTGCATCATACAGACCATCTCTGACACTTGGTACGCCCTTCTGTGGAATTTATTAATACTCCAACGTTAGATCAAATTTGCTGACGTACTTGGCCTGACCGAGTTTTGATATTGGGTAAGAGTCAGTTTTAGAAAACTCCTTCCCAAACAAACAAGGTGAACTCTAGTCATTATGACTTGGTCCAAGGTTGTCATTGTCCAGCTTGTAATGAACTTCCTTCTTCAAAGCTTCATGCTTGATTGGATTCATGCGGCAGGGGTGTTGTTTCAAAGGTGTGTAGCCGATGTGACGTTAAATAATAACTCACTCACTCACTCAAAGGTGTGGAGTCACCTACATCTGCAACATGACACACATACATCCAGACACAACTAAAGGAAATCTTGAATTAACTCTCACACTTGAACCTTTTGCGCAAATGGCAAATGACCAAAACATATAAATTATCTAAAAGGTCAGAATTTGGACAAACAGAGTCAGTAATATTAACAAACTTGTATAAAGTCACATTTCTCATCTGTATCACGATCTGACACAAAATCTACAGCAGAAATACGCTAAATACATAGTGACGTGGAAAAGTCTTTTTACAATGATCATGTGTTTGCATAACGTGTTCAGTATGACTGGCCTTCTTATCAATATGGCTTATAGTACCTAGCACGTAATGGTTAACCAGGGATTGGCAAAAACACCAACATGTTATCCAGGACATGACATTTCTCTCTTGAGAACGTAAAATGTACTTTTTCATCTAGGCTCGTGTTTCTTTCACTTCACTTCACAAGCTTTAGAAAGCTGTATCCACAATATTGAAACAGTCCCGCAAACCCATTAAAGACCCATCGTTAAGCTAATGCTCGGTCAAGTGTTTTATAGGTCAAGAAACAGTATGACTGAAGACAGGGTAAAAAGGACTAAAACCTAAAAACTCACCCCCAACCAGCAAACAACAACAAATGAAATATTTCATCCCAATCCTTCTCAGTCCTTGTCAAATTCTTAAGTATGAAAATTTCTTGAATTGACGCATCGCCCGTTGGGGTGAGTGAGTGAGTTAGTTTAGTTTTATGCCGCTTTTAGCAATATCCCAGCAATATCACGGCCTGGGAACACCAGAAATGGGCTTCACAAATTGTACCTATGTGGGGAATCGAACCCGGGCCTTCAGCGTGACGACCGAACGCTTTAACCGCTGGGCTACCCCTAGCCCATTGGAAAACATCCGACACGATATTTGAGCTCTGGTCTAACTGTGAATAGGCCTAGAGCAAAAAGAATCACCAAAGTCTTTACAATGACTTTAGTCCTTATGTTCTGTAAAAGAACAGCCTTACGAAACCTTGCGCAAGTACATATGATAGTAAGGATGTCATGATAATCTGACGACAGTTCAGGACCACACAGTCTATGGTGGTCCTGCTGAATGGACCTGCAACTCCTGTCATGGCCTGTAGCCGGTATTTTGTTTTTATTGTTTGACAACCATTTGACATGCCAGGCAGGTTTTGCAAACTTGGGCGAAATAAAACAGGACAGACTTTTGCTACAAGTTATGTTCACACCCAAATAACCCACCAAAGGAGTCCCGCATCGAACTCAAAACATGTTTTCGATAGGAATTTGGAAGTAATGAAGTCTGATGAAAAGTCCACCATTCATTATTATGTCCCGATCAAGGCGCAATCCTTGCAAAAATAGCAAACTGGAACCTTATCAGTTTCTTCTAAAGAGAGTGCCCCTTTGACAAGAACTTGGAGTTCTTGCTTTTCTCTCTGTAATTTAACCAACTACTCTCGACCAAGAATTGGTTCTTCAACAGCCAAAGTGTCTGTATTCCCATTACCCTCCATCAAAGGATCAGGTTAATGATCCAGGAAAATCGCCAAATCGTCACTTGAATTATTCTCAGAAGAAATTTGCATAGCCTTAGGTAACATAACATGAAGGAAGAATAGCTAAAATTTCTTTTTCTGAATTTGCAGTAGTCTATTTTATTAGGTTCATGACGAACTATGGGAACAGGAAAATGTTTTCAGTGCCACACTATCAGGAGAGTTTCGACATGCCCACAAACCCTGACACAAATCGAGAGGTGCAGATAAACCCTCTAACCTCTAAGATAGCTGAACTTTAGCTGATGTTTTAGAGGGAAGATTTCAATAAACAAGCATACGAGGTGCAAGGATATGTCTGGAACTCTCCTGGTGTCAGAGTATTGTAACCTGTGAAGTTCTGTCTGTTTGAATTGGAATAACTCCCGGGAAACCTATGTTTTAAATGTTATATGTGGCAACTCACTAACTCATGTAGTAGGGCAGACATGCTGCTTTTTGAAGGCAAAGCCCAGGTGATCTGTATCAGGCATAGAAGAATATGCAGAATATGCCAAGAGATTTGGCTGAAACATTCTCAGCTGAACCATGATGGTCTACGTTGAGTTAGTAACTATGACAAATTCCATGTTCAACATACTCCACTCCAAGGTCCACACTCTCTGTCCAGTGATGCTGGAGTGCT